TGATAAAACCAGCAAGCAAACAATAAGTACATTTATACAGCCTGCAGAATTCTAAACAATTCCCTCTTAAGAAAAAAGCCACAACTTCTACTTCCCACCAGCACACACTATGAGAACTGAAATACATGTTAAGATCACCACCTTCTGATGTATGAGTTCAAGTAAATACACAGCATTAAAAGGAATAAGAACTGATGAACAGCGTCGGAGGGTGTAATTATGATGTCACAGGTACAGTTAGGTAACACCAGGCAATACAACAATTTTATATATATGCATTGCCCTTAGTTATTTAGTTAACTGTGCATAAAATACAAAACATAGACTGTGTACTAGGAAAATTTATAAACTGAGATCACAGAAAACACTGTATAAAACAAATTGCACAATAAAAACAAGAAAAACCTGATGCAGGCTCCCTGGTCTGAATGATTATATCGGCCAAAAGCAATGTTCAGAGTTCTTATTGTCCAATAGGATGTTCCTGCAGATGGGGTCTTTGAGAGAATTTGGTCATGGGTGTTGACTACTCGAGAATAGGGCTAGTGCTTTTATTTTTATTATTTATTTATTTATTTATTTATTGAGATGGAGTTTCCCTCTTGTTGCCCAGGCTGGAGTGCAATGGCATGATCTTGGCTCACCGCAACCTTTGCCTCCTGGGTTCAAGCAATTCTCCCGCCTCAGCCTCCCGAGTAGCTGGGATTACAGGCATGCGCCACCACACCCAGCTAATTTTGTAGTTTTATAGAGACGGGTGTCTCTATATTGGTCAGGCTGGTCTTGAACCCCCAACCTCAGGTGATTCACCTGCATCAGCCTTCTGAAGTGCTGGAATTACAAGTGTGAGCCACCGCGCTTGGCCACGACTACTGCTTTTATAAAGGGAAACATTAAAGAGCTGATTGTTATTTCTTTTTTTGTTTTTTGAGACCAGGTCACGCTCTATCACTCAGGCTGGAGTGCAGTGGCATGATTCTCCTGTCTAAAGAGATTCTCCTGCCTCAGCCTCCAGAGTAGATGGGACTACAGATGCATGTCACCATCCTTGGCTAATTTTTTTTCTTTTTTGGGGGGGGGAGACAGAGTCTCACTCTGTCACCCAGGCTGGAGTACAGTGGTGCGATCGTGGCTCACTACAATTTCTGCCTCCCAGCCAGGTCCAAGTAATTCTCCTGCCTCAGCCTCCAGAGTAGCTGGAATTAGAGGCATGTGTCAACATGGCCAGCTAATTTTTGTATTTTTGGTAAAGACAGGGTTTCACCATGTAGGCCAGACTGGTCTCGAACTCATGACCTTCAGCAATCTGCCCCCAAAGTGCTGGGATTACAGGCATGAATGAGCCGCCACGCCTGGCTTTGATGTTCCTTACTTTTTATTTTTTTTCTCAGACGGAGTCTAGCTCTGTTGTTCAGGCTGGCATACAGTGATGGAATCTTGGCTCACTGCAACTTCTGCCTCCCGGGTTCAAGCAATTCTTCCACCTCAGCCTCCCGAGTAGCTGGGATTTTAGACATCTGCCACCACGTCCAGCTAATTTGTGTGTGTGTGTGTGTGTGTGTGTGTGTGTGTGTGTGTGTGTGTGTATATATATATATATATATTTTTTTTTTTTTTTTTTGAGACGGAGTCTCGCTCTGTCGCCCAGGCTGGAGTGCAGTGGCTGGATCTCAGCTCACTGCAAGCTCCACTTCCCGGGTTTACGCCATTCTCCTGCCTCAGCATCCCGAGTAGCTGGGACTACAGGCGCCCATCACCTCGCCTGGCTAGTTTTTTGTATTTTTTAGTAGAGACGGGTTTTCACCATTTTAGCCAGGATGGTCTCGATCTCCTGACTTCGTGATCCGCCCATCTCGGCCTCCAAAAGTGCTGGGATTACAGGCTTGAGCCACCGCGTCCGGCCTAATTTTTGTATATTTTAAGCAGAGATTGGGTTTCACCGTGTTGGCCAGGTTGGTCTCGAACTCCTGACCTGCTGACCTCCTGATCCACTCACCTGTCTCCCAAAGTGCTGGGATTACAGGCGTGAGTCACCACGCCCTGACATCCCTTTTAAAAACTGCTATGGCCTCAGCTTGGTGGCTTACACCTGTAATCCCAGCACTTTGGGAGGCCGAGGCAGCAGGTCACCTGAGGTCGGGAGTTAGAGACCAGCCTGGATCAACATGAAGAAACCTCATCTCTACTAAAAACACAAAATTAGCCAGGCATGGTGGTGTATGCATGTACATCCAGCTACTCAGGAGGCTGAGGCAGTAGAATCGCTTGAAGCCGGGAAGCTGAGGTTGTGGTGAGCTGAGATCATCTCATCGCACTCCAGCCTGGGCAACAACAGCAAAACTCCCTCTCAAAAAAAAAAGGGGAGGGCTATGTAAACCAGACGTGGTGGGTCATCTCTGTAATCCCACCTGTAATCCCAGTAATTTGGGAGGCCAAGGCAGGAGGATACTTTGAGCCCAGAATTTTGAGACCAGCCTGGGAAACATAGTGAAACCCCATTTCCAAAACAAAACAAAAAACAAAAACTAGCCGGGCTTGGTGGCTCATGCTTCTGGTCCCAGTTACTCAGAAGGCTGAGGTAGGAGGATCGCTTGAGCCCAAAATGTTGAGGCTGCAGTTAGAGGAGATCACGATAGTGCACTCCAGTCTGGGTGATAGAGCCAGACCCTGTCTCAAGATATTATTTAATTAATTAAATTAAAAGCATTATGTAATAACAGACAGTGACTTTTTTCCCACTTCACTACCCACGTCCTACCCCATCCTAGGAAAAGGGAAGGCAGTGATTCACAACTGAATAAGTCACTTCCCTCTGGCTGAATAGGGATTCCAAGTGGAAGATACCCCTGATGCCAAGATTTATAGAATGTACATGTCTTATAGATACAAATTTTGAAATTCTCAATCTCATCTGTAAAATTTAAACAAGTTTTCAGTTGTTAGATTATATACACGGAAGTCAACATGTCACAACTAATCATATCCAATGAACTCACGCACTCATCTAAACCCAAAGTCTCTCGCCCCTTTTTTTCTTTTGAGACAAGATCTCTCTCTGTTGTCCAGGCTGCAGTGTAGTGACATGATATCAGCTCACTGCAGCCTGGACCTCCTGGGCTCAAGTCATCCTCCCAGCTTGGCCTCCAGAGCAGCTGGACTGAGTACAGGTGCACACCATTAGGCCCGGTTATTTACTGTTTTTTTTTTTTGGCAGAGATGGGGGTCTCACTATGTTGCCCAGGCTTGTCTCGAACTCCTGGCCTCAAGCAATCCCCTTGCCTCAGTCTCCTGAAGTGTGGAGAGTACAGGCGTGAGCCACTGTGCCCAGCCCCTCTGTCTTCATTACGGTGCTTCCTTCCCTAATTCTGTACCTATCTCTCATTCTCCCCTTTTCTCTCTAGCTCTTGTTTTCTTTTCTTTCTCCCTCGGATTCTGTTCTTCATTTTGTACCCCTCTCCTCTTCTGCTGTTTATCTCCTTCTTCCCTCTATTCCTTATCTTCCACCTCTTCTGCTCCATCCTGGCAACTTATTAACCTCTTAATGCTCTTTCTCCCCAGTCTTTCAGTTGTCCTCAATCTCCATCTATTTCTGCCTCTTCTCCCATCTCTGAGCCTCCTCTGCTCTCCCTGTTAAATTCTCTCTTCCCTGACATACTCCCCTGTCCCCACTCTGTGGCACCCCAGATGTCCAGGTGTCCTCCCTGCTGTGCTTCTCCCACTGTTCTTGACACAAGCACCACTCTGCTCTGTCTGTCCTGGCTCCAAATCCCTCCCTTTCTCCCTCACTCTGATGAGCCTCCCTTTTTGCTGCCACTCCCTCTACCTTGCCGTCCTTCATCTCTCTGTACATCTAGCTTTTTCTACATTTCTCCAGTTGCTTTTCTTCTCCTGTTTTCCTAGGTTTTTTTGTTTCTTTTTTTCCCCACTTTTGCCATCTGCTGGCATATCCCTTACCAATCCTCTATTTTCCATCTATTATGGGCTTTTCTTTTTTTTTTTTTTTTTTTTTTTTTTGAGACGGAGTCTGGCTCTGTCACCCAGGCTGGAGTGCAGTGGCGCGATCTCGGCTCACTGCAAGCTCCGCCTCCCGGGTTCACGCCATTCTCCTGCCTCAGCCTCCCGAGTAGCTGGGACTACAGGCGCCCGCCACCTCGCCCGGCTAGTTTTTTGTATTTTTTAGTAGAGACGGGGTTTCACCGTGTTAGCCAGGATGGTCTCGGCCTCCCAAAGTGCTGGGATTACAGGCTTGAGCCACCGCGCCCGGCCTGTTATGGGCTTTTCTTATTCTTCTTTTCTCTGTCTCAGGTTTTCTACTGCTGTCTGCCTCCTAATCCCTTCGGCCTACACAATCGCAGGAAGGTTTGGAGTAAGATGCCTGCATCCCGAAGGAGCGCATTTTCCAGGGGCTGGAGCTCAGCAGGCAAGAAGACCCCGTGTCACAGGACAGGCCCCTGGGACCTCCCCAATGCGGGTTCAGTGGAAGCGGTGACTGCGGAGGGGAGACCTGGGGAGCAGCAGGCTGTGGCAAGAGGAGGGAGGTTGGTTGCGGGGCGACAGCGCCTTAGGACAAGGATATGGTCTGCAGGATCCCAGGACCCAACAGAGGACTCGATCTCCCCGGGACTGAGGCTGCGGCACGGCGCTCCAGGGCCCAACGACGGAGAGACTGCAAGGCGCGCCCTGGGCAAGAATCCACCTCACGGGTGAGGACTTTAAATAGCGCGGGGCGAGATGAGTCAGACAAGGTTTTGAGCAGAAAAACTACACAATAGAAAGTGTATACATTGACCTACAGCAGAAAGACTGGGGAGGAGAACAGCCTCCGGCCGACTTTAAACCCAAAAGGAAGCGACCCCCGGGCTCTCACGGGGATGTCACAATTTGCTCTGGGCGAAGGAAGACCAGAGAGAATTTCGAGGTCTGTGGGGACCCCACGTCCCAGGGACAGAAATGCCGGCGACCTGGGAATCGGAGACTTAATGCAACACAGCAAAACTCACCACCGCGATGTGACCTTCACGCCACCCGATCCGCTTCCGGGTTTGCGTTAATCTGCGCGCGCAGGACAGAAGCCTGGACGGGAAGCGGGAGGAGGTTGGCGGGGCCTGGGCGAGGCAGCGGCGGGGGGGGGGGGGGGGGGGGGGCACCAGGCGGACAGACCCTGCCCTTTAGAACCGGCAGAGGGCGGGGCCGGGGCGGTACCTGCGCGTCTCAGCGGCTCTCCCAGCATCTGTTTTCAGGTTTTGGAGGCGAGAGCGCCAGAAAGTCTGAGGAATGATTCCAAAGCCCTGGACTTATCTGGAACTGGGATGCAAACTAGAATGTGAAATGCAAAGCCCTGCCTGGGCGGCACGTACGATATCACGCTGACAGCCCACAGAACAGAATAGAAATCCTCTCCCTTTCTATTGTCCCATTCACTCGGGAGGGAGAGTCCGCCTTGTGTTCAGCTTCAGAGACTTCCTTAAAACCACAGGCTGGGGTGCGGGATGGAGTGCTCAAGCCAGGGAGGAGTGAGGTCACCACCTGCTGCTTCAAGACAGCAGAGGCGCGAGGGCGGGAGCCTGAGGTCCCAGGGACTCAGGAAACAAAGGAGAGAATGGCTGAGCCTGGGGTTCCAAGCCAGCCTGGGCGACAAAGTAACACCCACTGCCACAGGTCTCCCTTCCTAATCTCTCTCTCTTTCCCTTAAAAAAAAAAAAAAAAAAAAAAAAAACTTTTTTAAATAAAATTTTTGATGGTGTGATATAGGGATCCAACATTATTCTTTTCGATGTGGATATCCAGTTAATTGTCCCAGTACATTTATGGAAGAAATCTATTACTTCATTTTTTTAATGATTATTTACTTTTTTCTTTCTCTTTTTTTTTTTTTTTTTTTTTTTGAGACAGAGAATTTCTCTGTCGCCCAGGCTGGAGTGCAGTGGTGAGATCTCGACTCAATGCAGCCTCTGCCTCCTGGGTTCAAGCGATTCTCCAGCCTCAGCCTCAAGAGCAGCTGGCATTACAGTCGCGCGCCACCATGCCTGGCTAATTTTTGTATTTTTCATACAGACGGGGTTTCACCATGTTGACCAAGCGGGTATGGAACTCCTCACTTCAAGTTATTTGCCTGCCTAGGCCTCCCAAAGTGCTGGGATTATAGGCATGAGCCAACATGCCTGGCCCAAGAAATATTCTTTACTGTGCTTTTTAAATGTCGACAAAATATAATTGAAAACTAAAAAATCTTCTCCCAAAGGAGAAATCATCTCCACGAAGATAACAGAGAAATAAATAAAAACCATTTTATTAATAAATAAGCCTTGGACCAGAATGTGATGGGAAATAGAGGCAAACAGCTAAGAGGTTGAAAAGAGAGAAAGCAACCTCACTGTTCTATACAACCCATTAAATACGTGTTTTTGTCCGACGCGGTGGCCTACAGAATTCAAAACAATTTCCTTTTAAGAAAAAAGCCACAACTTGTACCTACCACCAACACACAATATAAGAACTGAAATACATGTTACATTCACTACCTTCTGACATATGAGGTCAAGAAAATACATAGCATTATAAGAAATGAACATTGACTAACGTCCATGTGCAGTGGCACATGCCTGTAATTGCAGACTTTGGGAGGCTGAGATGGGTGGATCATAAGGTCAGGAGTTCGAGAGCAGCCTGGCCAACATGGTGAAACCCCGTCTCTACTAAAAATACCAAAAAAAATTAGCTAGGCATGGTGTAATCCAAGCTACCTGGGAGTGTGAGGCAGGAGTGGTTTAAACCCAGGAGGTGGAGGTTGCATTGAACCGAGATCACGCTGTTGCAATCCAGCCTGGGTGACAGTGCATGTATAAAAAGAGACAGTAAAGAGCTTGTTGCCTGTTCCTCTTTCCACCATGTCAGGGCACAGCAGGAAGATGGCTGGGCTAAACCATGAAGAAGGCTCTCACCAGGAACCAATTTGGCTGGCACCTCGCTCTTGGATTTCCCACTTTCCAAATTCATGAGAAACATATTTCTGTGTCTTAAGCCTCCCAGTTTCAGCTATTTCCTTTTTGTCTGTTTTTGAGACTGAGTCATGCTCTATCACCCAGGCTGGAGTGTAGTGGCACGACGATTATCCTACCTCAAGTGATTCTCCCGCCTCACTCTGTAGTCTCGCTCTGTCACTTGGGCTGGAGTGCAGTGGCAAGATCTTCGCTCACTGCAACCTCCACCTCCCAGGCTCAAGAGATTCTCCTCCCTCAACCTCCCAAGTAGCTGGTATTAGAGGTGTGTGCCACAACACCCAACTATTTTTTGTATTTTTAGTAGAGACGGGGTTTCACCATGTTGGCCAGGCTGGTCTTGAACTCATGACTAAAGTGTGCTGCCTGTCTTGGCCTCCCAAACTGGTGAGATTGCAGGTGTGTACTGCACCAGGCCCATTTTTAACATTTAGTAGATTAAATGTTTCACCATGTTGGCCAGAGTGGTCTCAAACTGCTGACCTCAAGTGATCTACCCACCTGGGTGTCCTAAAGTGCTGGGATTAGAGGTGTGAGCCACCACAGCCAGCCAGTCTAAGCTATTTCTCACAGGACAATGAAATGACAGACAGGAAAAAAAGCATCTCATCATTAACATCACCGAAGGCTGACAAATCTTATTAAACAAAGGCAGGTGAGAGTCTGTACTGTAACACTTGCAATACTTGAAGCCATCTAATAGCACTAACATGTTTTTAAAACCTTGAGACAGGCCGGGTGTGGTGGCTCATGCCTGTAATCCCAGCACTTTGGGAGGCCAAGGAGGGAGGATCACAAGATCAGGAAATTGAGACCATCGTGGATAACAAAGTGAAAACCCGGCTCTACAAAAATAAAATATATATGTATATACACACATGTATATATACTTATATATATATTCCAAGAAATAAGACTGGCGTGTTGGCACAAGCCTGTAGTGTCAACTACTCGGGAGGCTGAGGCAGGAGAATCACTTTAACCCGAGAGGTGAAAGTTGCAGTGAGCTGAGAAAGCACCTTTGCACTTCAGCCAGGGTTACAAGAGCAAAACTCCATTTCATAAATATATAAATTAATTAATTAATAAAAGGACAGATACAAAATTGGCATACGTGTACCTTTTCTTCATAATGAAACTTTTTTCATATTATTTAGAATAAAAAGGCATGAAAAACACTGTATGTATATGTTAACAGAAATGCAACACACACAGAAATAATTCTGACATAAATAACAAACAGTTCTAGTGGAGAAGGAGTAGTTTTTACAGGTTACAGTTTTTTTTTTTAATGGTGCCCAGTATGCCATAAGGTTTTATGCCTACTTTAGTTCTGGAATCCCCAATGAGCTATCATAAAGAATACAGAACATTTAAACAAAGGGAACAGTGAAAGTCCAGATGCTACATCATGAAACTTTTCATTCCAAAATCAATATGGCTTCCGTGTTAGTCAAGGAACAATGGGGCTCCCAAGAGGCAACAAGAGAAAATGCAAAGATACGCAAGGGCACATCCCCAGGAGGGAAGTTATCCTCACCCAGGGAGACCAGGTTCCTATAATTCTCCAACATCACATCTCTGCATAGAGTCCTCTGAGCAGGGTCCAGGCATTTCCACTCCTCCTGAGAGAATTTTATGGCCTAAATGTCATACCTAAATGTCAATAGACCATGAAATGAAAACACATTTTAACCAAATAGTTCTGGGAGGAGTTCTTATCTTTACAGAAAATGAGAAGAGGAGAGAGAGGAAAGCGTGGATTTAATTGTAGTGAATGTTCTGACAAATCCGAGTAAGGGATTTCTCACCACATGACGTCTTCCCAGTTTTATTCTACTACATTTTTTGAAGAGGTCATGACACCCTCTCAGTATGAATTACTTATGTTTGTGAAAAAATACAAGCAATACATAAATAAAAAAATCAATGCAGGGTTCCCGTTATAGAAATGTTAGGAAGTTTTATTGACACACCAAGTGACATTTATCTGGATGAGCCAGAGCATGAGTGAGGTCTTCAAAGATGACAACATCCACAGTGAAAGATCAGCCAGGCATGGTGGCACATGGCTATAATCCCAGCTACATGGAAGGCTGAGGCAGGAAAATCACTTGATCACTGGAAGCAGAGGTTGCAGTGATCCGAGATTATGCCACTGCACTCCAACCTGGGAAACCGAAATTCAGTCAAAAAAAAAAAAAATTAGCCAGGCATGGTTCCAGGCACGTGTGGTCCCAGCTATTTGGGAGACTGAGGTGGGAGGATGGCTTGTTCCTGAGGGTGGAGGTTACAGTGAGCTATGATCCTGCCACTGTGTACCAGCCTGGGCAACAAAGCAAGACCCTGTCTCAAAATAAAATAAAATACATGAAAACAAAATTACTCAAGATACAAAAATCCATTTTGTATATATATGTCCACAAAATAATAAAACCTGCACAGACTCACAAAAAGCCAGATGTTAATACAAGGGGTTGTCATTTGTCCCAGATTTTCAAAATATAAAAGATATTCAAAATATATACATATGTGTGTATACATGTATTTGTATGTATATGTGTGTGCATGTGTGGGGGGATGTGTATATACATATATAAAGATTTTTAAAATATAAAAAGTAGCAAGTTTTGTTTAACTGAAGAGGAATCTCATCTTGCTGGAAGAGGACACTTTGGCAGTTGGGGGTAGGGAGGACTCTTGTCAGATCTAAGAAAACAGGGAATGCCTCATCCTAGAGGAAGCAATCACCATTTCAACTGCCTGACCTGGAGGAAGCTTCAGATATCTGTAGGAATGCAGGCGTGTGCAGTGGCAGCCACTGTGGCACTCTTTATACAGGGAAAAATCAAAAAGGACCCAAACATTGTCATTCAGCCAATTTCCAATGCAGATGGCAAAGAGCAAGCTATCCATGTTCACTAACATGACATGTAAATTTTTACAACCAATAGGATCAAATATCAAAGTAAAATATTTACTAGAACACAAAGAAGAAAACAACAGAGGCTTGGATCTACTTGAGAGTGGAGGGTGGGAGGAAGGAGAGGAGCCAAAAAAATAACTATTGGGGGCCAGGCCAGGCGCAGTGGCTCCTGCCTGTAATCCCAGCACTTTGAGAGGCCGAGGGGGGTGGATCAACTGAGGTCAGGAGTTCAAGACCAGCCTGGCCAACATAGTGAAACCCTGTCTCCAGTAAAAAATACAAAAATTAGGGAGGTATGGCAGCAGGCACCTGTAATCCCAGCTACTTGGGAGGCTGAGGCAGGAGAATCGCTTGAACCTGGGAGGTGGAGGTTACGGTGAGCTGAGATCATGCCATTATACTCGAGCCTGAGCAACAAGAGCAAAACTCAGTCTCAAAAAATAAATAAATAAAAAATAACTATTGGGTACAGGGCTTAATACAAGAGTGATAGTCTACTACAACAAACCCTGATGATACAACTTACGTAACAAAGCTTCACATATAGCCCCAAACCTAAAGTAAAAATCTAGAAATAATCTGTAGAACAAACCCCGATGACACAACTTGACATATGTAACAAAGCTTCACATATAGCCCCAAACCTAAAGTAAAAACGTAAATATAAAAAAAAAAATTGGCCACACACAGTGGCTCACACATGTAATCCCATCACTTTGGGAGGTTGAGACGGGAGAATCATGAAGTCAGGAGTTCAAGACCAGCCTGGCCAAAATGGTGAAACCCCGTCTCTACTAAAAATATGAAAAAAAATTAGTCAGGGGTGGTGGCACTTGACTATAATCCCAGTTATTCTGGAGGCTGAAACAGGAGAATTGCTTGAACCTGGGAGGAAGAGGTTACAGTGATCTGAGATTGCACCACTGAACTCCAGCCTGGGCAACAGAGACTTTGTATCAAAAAAAAAAAAAAAAAGAGAGAGAGAGAGAGAGAAAAGGCCAGTAGAGGTGGCTGACACCTGTAATCCCAGCACTTCAAAGGCCGAAGTGGGCGGATCACGAGGTTAGGAAATTCAGACCATCCTGGCTAACAAGGTGAAATTCCATCTCTACTGAAATACCAAAGCATGGTACTGGCACCGTGGCACTCACCTATAGTCCCACACACTTGGGAACCTGAGGTAGGAGAATCACTTGAACCCGGGAGGCAGAGGTTGCAGTGAGCTGAGATCATGCTGCTGTTCTCCAGCCTGGCTACAGAGTGAGACTCCATCTCAAAAAAAAATTAAGAGAGCATGGTGGTACACACCTGTGGTCCCTGCTACTTGGGAGGCTGAGATTGGGGGATGGCTTGAGCCTGAAGGAGGTTGCAGTGAGCTAAGATCACGCCACTGTGCTCCAGTCTAATCGACAGAGCAAGACCTTGTCTCAAAATAAAATCAAATATATGAAAACAGAATACTCAAAGTATGAAAATCCATTGTGTTTATATAAGTTTGCAAAATAATAAAACATACACAGACTCACAAGAAACTAGATGTTAGTAAAAAGTTGTCATTTTCTCCAGTTTTTTTTTTCTTAAGACAGGGTCCTGTTCTGTCACCCAGGCTGCAGTGCAGTAATATAATCTTGGCTCACTGCAACTTCTGCCTCCTGGGTTCAAGTGGTTTTCCTGCCTCAGTCACAGAGTAACTGGGATTACCAGCGCCCGCCACCATGCCCGGCTAACTTTTGTATTTTTAGTAGAGATGGGGTTTCACCATGTTGGTCAGGTTGGTCTTGAACTCCTGACCTCAGGCGATCCACCCACCTTGGCCTCCCAAAGTGCTGGGATTACACACGTGAGTCACCAAGCTCAGCAGATTTTCAGAAAATATACATGTATATGTAAATATGTATATATATGTGTGTGTGTGTGTATATATGTGTGTGTGTGTGTATATATATATATAGTCTTAAAAATATAAAAAGTAGCAAGTTGTGTTTAGCTGAAGAGGAATCTCATCTTGCTGGAAAAGGACACTTTGGCAGTTGGGGGCAGGGGGAATCTTGTCAGATCTAAGAAAACAGGAAATGCCCCATCCTAGAGGAAGCAATCACCCTTTCAACTGCCTGACCTGGAGGAATGTTCAGATATGTGTAGGAACGCAGGCGTGCACAGAAGGAACCACTATGGCACTCCTCATACAGGAAAAAATGGCGAAGGACCCACATGTTGTCATTCAGCCATTTTCCAATGCAGATGGCAAAGAGCAAGCTAGCCATGTTTACTAACATGACAACAGGTAAATTCACAACCAGCAGGATCAAATATCAAAGTAAAATATTTACTGGAACACAAAGAAAACAACAGACACTGGGGTCTACTTGAGTGTGGAGGGTGCAAGGAAGAAGAGGAGCAGAAAAAATAACTATTGGGGGCTGGGCACGGTGGCTCACGCCTGTAATCCCAGCACTTTGGGAGTCTGAGATGGGTGGATCACTTGAGGTCAGGAATTCAAGACCAGTCTAGCCAACATAGTGAAACCCTATCTCTACTAAAAATACAAAAATTAGCCAGGCATGGTGGGGGGCACCTGCAATCCCAGCTACTCAGAAGGCTGAGGCAGGAGAATCACTTGAACCCGGGAGGCGGAAGTTGCAGTAAGCCATGATCTGTGTATGAACTCTCCATTTTAATGAGATTTTTGGAGTCAGAAACACAGTAACTCACTCAATTACCTAAAAATGTAGTATAAAATCAGGCAGAAAACATTTCCCCTTATTGGTCTCCTTTTCTAGAATGTACCATGTACTTTGTGCTAATTATTATTATTTTTTTTTTTTTTGAGACGGAGTCTTTCTCTGTCACCCAGGCTGGAGTGCAGTGGCCGGATCTCAGCTCACTGCAGCCTCCGCCTCCCGGGTTCACACCATTCTCCTGCCTCAGCCTCCCGAGTAGCTGGGACTACAGGCGCCCGCCACCTCGCCCGGCTAGTTTTTTGTATTTTTTAGTAGAGACGGGGTTTCACCATGTTAGCCAGGATGGTCTCGATCTCCTGACCTTGTGATCCACCCGCCTCGGCCTCCCAAAGTGCTGGGATTACAGGCTTGAGCCACCGCGCCCGGCCAACTTTGTGCTAATTAATACGTGACTTATATTGGCAGCTGCTCTAATCCTGGTCCATCCTGGATGACAGAGCAAGACTCTTGTCTCCAAAAAACAAAAAACAAAAGCAAAACACAGAAAGGCAGAAAAGATTTCCTGAATTCTTTTTGCAGAATTTACCAGGTACTTGCGCACATTAGTACATGACTTCTGAGGGCAGCTGGTCTAATCCAGGTCCACAGAGAGCTGACAGAGCATCCAGATGTGGTCCCTGAACAATCCCTGCTGCCCAACAGCACTCACACCACGGGACCCTCACCCCGTCTCCATCCATGTTTGGTGTGAGCCCTTCCCAGGCCCATGCCCAGTGCCGCCTCTTCCCAAGTTCATGTCACTGGGTCATGAGAGATGGAATCTAAGCGAGATGAGAGGGACTGAGGGAAAGCATGGGTGAGGGTGAGCAAACCTGTCAGGCAGGACGCTTCAGACTCAGAGAAGATTCCCAACTCCAAGGCCCAGGGTTTTTGAAAGGAAGGAGACAGAACAATCCACCGAGAATATCATCTCACCTGAGAAAGAGCCATCCCTGACTCCTTTGCTTTCCTCTTCCTCTTCCGAGTTTCTTCCTCACGTACCAAGAGTCTTTAGAAGTCAATCCTAAATGTTAAAAATATGTTGTTTATTGCTCAGAATCAACAACCCCCTCCCCCTGTACCACAATCGCACATACAAAGAAACTGGAAGCTAACCTCTGATGCCAAGATTTATAGAATGTACACATATTATAGACAGGAATTCTAAAATTCTCAATCTCATCTGTATAATTTTTTTTTTTTTTTTTTTTTTTTTGAGATGGAGTCCCACTCTGTCGCCCAGGCTGGAGTGCAGTGGCGCGATCTCAGCTCACTGCAAGCTCCGCCTCCCGGGTTCACGCCATTCTCCTGCCTCAGCCTCCCGAGTAGCTGGGACTACAGGCGCCTGCCACTACGCCTGGCTAATTTTTTGTATTTTTAGTAGAGATGGGGTTTCACTGTGTCTGCCAGGGTGGTCTTGATCTCCTGACTTCATGATCCGCCCGCCTCGGCCTCCCAAAGTCCTGAGATTACAGGCGTGAGCCACCGCACCCGGCCTCATCTGTATAATTTAAACAAGTTTAACTTATTAGATTATATACACGGAAGTCAACATGTCACAACTAATCATATTCAATGAACTCACCCACTCATCTGAACCCAAAGTCGCCTACCCCTTTTTTTCTTTTGAGACAGGGTCTCGATCTGTTGACCAGGCTGGAGGTCTCGCTGTGTTGACCAGGCTGGAGTGCAGTGGCATGATCTCCGCTCATTGCAGCCTGGACCCCCTGGGGTCAATTGATTCTCCTGCCTCAGCCTCCAGAGTAGCTGGGATTACAGGTGAGTACCATCAACCCCAGTTAATTTTTTTATTTTTGGCAGACATGAGTGTCTCATTATACTGCCCAGACTGGCCTCAAACTCCTGGACTCAAGGAATCCTCTTGCCTCAGTCTCCTAAATTGCTAGGATTACAGGCGTGAACCACTGCGCCCAGCCCCTTTCTTCATTACTGTGCTTCCCTCCCTAATTCTGTACATATCTCTCATTCTCCCCTTCTCTCTATGTTCGTTTTTCTTTTTCCCTGGGATTCTGCTCCATATTTTGTACATCTCTCTTCTCCTGTTGTTTATCTCCTTCTTCCCTCTATTCCTTCTCTTCCCCCTCCTCTGCTCCATTCTCGCAACTTTTTTAACCTCTTGTTGCTCCTTCTCCCCAATCTTTAGATCGTCCTCGATCTCCATCTATTTCTGCCTCTTCTCCCATCTCTGCTCCTCCTCTGCTCTCCCTGTTAAATTCTGTCTTCCCTGTTGTACCCCCCTGTCCCCACTCTCTGGCATCCCAGATCCCCAGGTGTCCTCCCTGCTGTGATTCTCCCTCTGTTCTCCTTGCCACCAGCACCACTCTGCTCTGTCTGCCCCAGCTCCAAATCCCTCCCTCCTCTCCCTCACTCTGATGAGCCTCCCTCTTTCCTGCCCCTCTCCCTACATTGCTGTTCTTCATCTCTCTGTACGTTTAGTTTTTCTCTACACTTCTCCAGTTGTTTTTCTCCTTTTGCTTTCTTATCTTTTTTTCACTTTTGCTGTCTCTTGGCAAATCCCTCACCCATCCTCTACTTTGCCATCGGTTATGGGTCTTTTTCATTCTTCTTTCCTCTGTCTCAGGTTTTCTATGGCTCTCTGACTCCGTCTGTCTGTCTCCTGATCCCTTTGGCCCATACAATCACAGGAGAATTTAGAGTAAGACGCCTGCATCCCTGAGAAGTGCATTTTCCAGGGTCTAGAGCTGGGCAAGCAAGAGCACCCGTGTCACAGGACAGGCCCTGGGCACCCCGCGGGCTCAGGGGAAGCGGTGACTAGCAGTAGAGACCTGTGGAGCACCAGGGCCCCGCACGAGGAAGGAGGTGGGGGGCGACGGCGCCTTAAGACAAGGATAAGAGCTGCAGGATCCCAGGACCAGGCAGAGGACGCCGCCTCCCCGGGGCTGGGGCCACCGCGCTGCGCTACAGGGGCCGACTAGGGCGAGGGTGGGAGGGGCCCAGGGTGAGAATCTGCCTCCCGGGTGAGGACTTTGAAAAGCACGGGGCAGGAGGAGTCAGAAAAAGTTTTGAGCAGGAAAACTACCAGACAGGAAGTGTACAGAAGCACCCGGGACCTGGGAAGCGCAGACCTAATACAAGACAGAGAGAAACTCACGCGCCGGCGGTGGGACCTTCCCTCCACGTGATCCGCTTCCGGGTTTGTGCAAATCTGCCCAGGCAGAACAGAAGCCAGGCCTGGGCGGGACCCGCGAGGAGGTGAGCCGGGCCTGAGGGAGGTCGGGGTGGGGCGCGAGGCGGAGAGACCTTGCTCTTTAGAACCAGCAGCGGGCGGGGCCTGGGCGGGACCTGTGCGTCTCTCCGCGTCGCTCCCAGAGCCCCTGTTTTTCAGGTTTTGGGGGCGAGACCAGCCAGGAAGGCTGAGGCATAATTCAAAAGCCCTGGAATTGTCTGGAACGGGGATGCAAACTAGAATGTGAAATGCAAAGCCCTGCCTGAGTAGAACCTACGATTTCATGCTGACGGCCCACAGAACAGAATAGAAATCCTCTCCCTCTCTATTCTCCATTCACTCGGGAGGGAGAGTCCACCCTGTGCTCAGCTTCAGAGACTCCCCTAGGGCCTGTGCCTGGGATGCGGGATGAGTGCTCAGGCCAGGGAGGAGTGAGGTCACCACCTGCTGCTTAAACACCGCAAGGATGCGGGGGTGGGGTCGGGAACCTGAGGTCCCAGCTACTCAGGAAGCAGCGGCTGGAGGGTCGCTGAGACTGGGGGTCCAGACGACTTTGCTTTTGTTTCTTGGCGGTAATCGCTTAATCCTGAAAGTCCTGAGAGGACATGGGAAGCGTAGTCAAGCACACACCACCATGATGGAGAAAATAAGAGAGGGAATGTCAGGCCTCTGAGCCCAAGCCAAGCCCTCGCATCCCCTGTGACTTGCACTTATATGCCCAGATGGCCTGAAGTAACTGAAGAATCACAAAAGAAGTGCAAATGCCCTGCCTCGCCTTAACTGATGACATTCCACCACAAAAGAAGTGAAAACGGCCAGTCCTTGCCTTAAGCGATATTATCTTGTGAAATTCCTTTTCCTGGCTCATCCTGGCTCAAAAAGCTCCCCAACTGAGCACCTTGTGACACCCCCACTCCTGCCTGCCACAGAACAACCCCCCCCTTGACTGTAATTTTCCTTTACCTACCCAAATCCTATAAAACGGCCCCACCCTTATCTCCCTTCGCTCTTTTTGGACTCAGCCCGCCTGCACCCAGGTGAAATAGACAGTATTCAAGAGGATATAAAAAGGATTACAGATATTCAAGTGCCACTTATTTCTGAGATGCAAGGATGGTTCAACATATTCAAGCAAATCAATGTGATATTCTGTTGCAGGAAATCAGGGACCCTGAAAGGAGGGACCAGCTGAAGCTGCAGCAGAAAAACATAGATTGTGAAGATTTCATGGACATTTATTAGTTCCCCAAATTAACACTTTTATAATTTCTTACACCTATCTTTACTATAGTCTCCGAACATAAATTGTGAAAATTTCATGAACACTTATCACTTCCCCAATCAAAACTCTTGTGATTTCCTATGCCTGTTTTTACTTCAATCTCTTAATCCCGTCATCTTTGTAAACTCAGGAGCATGAATGTCGACTCAGGACCCTGTGATGATTGTGTTAACTGCACAAATTGTAGAGCATGTGTGTTTGAACAATGTGAAATCTGGGCACCTTGAAAAAAGAACAGGGTAATGGCAATCTTCAGGGAACAAGGGAGATAAGACGTGGAGTCTGACTGCCAGTGAGCCAGTGGAAGAGAGCCATATTTCTCATCTGGTACCAAGGCTGATGTGCAGTGGCACAATCATGGCTCACAGGAGCCGTGACCTTTCAGGCTCAAGCCATCCTCTCTACTTAGCCTCCCAAGTAGCTGGGACTACAGGTGTGCATCACCATGTGTGGCTTTTAAATTTCCTATAGAAACTGGGTATTGCTATGTTGCCCAGGCTGTTCTCAAACTCCTCGACTCAAGTGATCCTCCCACTTTAGCCTCCCAATATACTGGGATTACAGGCATGAGTCTCTGTGTCCAGCTGTATGCATAAAATGTTCTGGTAGATTTTTTTTTCCCTCAAGATGGAGTCTTGCTCTGTCACCCAGGCTGGAGTGCAGTGGTGCAATCTCGCATCACTGCAACCTCCACCTCTCGAGTTCAAGCAATTCTCCTGCCTCAGCCTCCCTAGTAGCTGGGACTACAGGCGTACACCACCATATTCAGCTAATTTTTGTATTTTCAATAGAGATGGGGTTTCACCATGTTTGTCAGGCTGGATTCGAACTCCTCACATTGTGATCCTCCCGCCTCAGCCTCCTAAAGTGCTGGGATTACAGGTGTGAGCCACCGCACCCAGCCTGATTTATTATTATTATTGTTACTTAATTTGAGATGGAGTCTCCCTCTGTCTCCCAGGCTGGAGTGCAGTGGCACAATCTCGGCTCACTGCAACCTCTGCCTCCCAGTTTCAAGTGATTTTCCTGCCTCAGCCTCCCAAGTAGCTGGGATTACAGGTGCCTGCTACCATGTTGGGGTAATTTTTGTATTTTTTTAGTAGAGACAGGGTTTCACCATGTTGGCCAGGCTGGTCTTGAACTCCTGACCTCAAGTGATCCACCTGCCTCAGCCTTCCAAAGTGCTGCGAATACAGGCAGTGTGAGCCACTGCGCCCAGGCATAATTTGTTTTAAGACTTAGTGGAAAAAAATCAAACCATATTTTCCTCTGTCTGGTCTCACACCACAAAAGAATAAACACAGAAAACTTCTGTGACCAAATGTGGGTTTTTTCCTCCACCAATAAGCAAGCAATCAATTCTGCAGTGTCTACTGGCTGAGTGCCCTTGAATTCAATTCTGACACTATGTACCTGGAGGTAGCATCAAATCCTACAGGTTGAGGGCTCAGTCCCCAAGATTGCAAATAGACTAGTAGCAAGTCCAGGCCTCCAGAACTTCTGACCAACTGACTTCAAGTTGGGTTCCCATGACTCCTACTTTGAGATTGATCAATTTGCTAGACAGGCTCACAGAACTCAGAGTAACACTTAAATGTGCAGGTTTATTGTAAAAGATATTACAAAGGGTGCAAGTGAACAGCCAGATGGAGAGATACATAAGGTGAGGTCTGGAGGGGTCCCAAGCACATGAGCTTCTGTCCCCTAAAGTTGGCTTGTGCCACTCTCCTCCTGGCACGTGGAGGAGTTCTCATTCATCTTACTGTTAGTTTTCATGTGTTCAGCCTTCCAAAACTCTCTAAACCCAGTCCTTTTGGGTTTTTATGGAAGTGTATTACATAGACATTACTGAAATATGGACAAATGTGTCAAAATGTAATTCTAGAGTGTATGATCTAAACCCTGTAAGGCCCATCTTTTCAGATTCTTCTTGACCTCCTCTGGGCAGGATTTTTTCCTCCAGGCTATGGGGCAGAACCCTGTCTGGAATGAGGGTCTTGTGACTCACCATTAGAAAAACAGGAACAAGCCGAACGGTGGCTCACGCCTGTAATCCCAGAACTTTAGGAGGCCAAGATGGGTGAGATTGCTTGAGCTCAAGAGTTCAAACCAGCCTGGATGACATGGCAAAACCCCATCTCTACTAAGAATACAAAAACTAGGCAGGTGTGGTGGGTCATGTCTGTAATCCCAGGTACTCAGGAGGCTGAGGCAGGAAAATTGCTTGAACCTCATAGGCAGAGGTTGTAGTGAGCTGAAATCACACCACTGCACCCCAGCCTGCATGACAGGGTAGGACTGTCTCAAAAAAAAAAAAAAAAAAAAAAAAGAAGGCCAAGTACGGTCACTCATGCCTATAATCACAGTACTTTGGGAGGCCAAGGTAGGTGGATCACAAGAGGTCAGGTGTTCGAGACCAGTCTGACCAACATGAAGAAACCCCATCTCTACTAAAAATACAAAATTAGGCAGGCGTGGTGGCGCATGTCTGTAATCCCAGCTACTCGGGAAGCTGAGGCAGGAGAATCACTTGAAGCTGGAAGGCGGAGGTTGTGGTGAGCCGAGATCATGCCATTGCCCTCCAGCCTGGACAAGAACGAAACTCCAAAAATAAATAAATAAATAAAATAAAATAAAATAAAAGGCCGGGAGCAGTGGCTCAAGCCTGTAATCCCAGCACTTTGGGAGGCCCAGACGGGCGGATCACGAGGTCAGGAGATCGAGACCATCCTGGCTAACACGGTGAAACCCCGTCTCTAATAAAAAATACAAAAAAACTAGCCGGGCGAGGTGGTGGATGCCTGTAGTCCCAGCTACTCGGGAGGCTGAGGCAGGAGAATGGTGTAAACCCAGGAGGCGGAGCTTGCAGTGAGCTGAGATCCAGCCACTACACTCCAGCCTGGGCGACAGAGCAAGACTCCGTCTCAGAAAAAAAAAAAAAAAGAAAAGAAAAAGAAAAGAAAAGAAAGGAAAAGAGAAAGAAAAGCAGAAGCAGGTTAAATTCCTGCCTTGAGGAACGGGTCAGAGAGAGAGGTTCTATTTCTTGCGGCCTTCTTTTGAGGCATAAAGGACCACAACACTATAAGACATGACTATAAGAAGGGCTGTGGGAATTATGAGTCAGGAATCATGGATAAAAACCTCCACACATGCACACACACACATCATAATATCACAAGGACACATTGTATTTTCTATGATATATTTTCAATTTTCTCAACATAATCTATGCATATTACTTAAACTTCCCTTTCTGTTTGTTGGAACAAATGCTATTTCTAATCATTGTGTTTTCTCTCTAGAGTCCATGTCCATCTTGGTTTAACAAATTAATTTTTAAAATATGTCCTAGTATTTTATGGGAAATTTAGCCCATTTATTGCACTTCATGGACTTCTCCACTATTTGTTTATATTACCTGTGTTTTCTGCAAAATTTCTGAAGTTCTGGAAATTACATTCTTAACAAATGAAGATGCTTTGTTCCCAATCTTTCCTTCTATCTGAATTTCCTGTAATGTTCACCTGGTCCGTGTTAATCTACACCCCGGCACTTTCCTGCTGTTCTCTGGCTCTTATTAGCTGCTTATGTTGCTGATGAACTAGTCCATGGGTCTCCACACCATTGCCAGGAAACATTTCTGCACTGTGCTGATACTGACTATGCAGTCAGTACAAGCCATTTCACTATGGACCATTTACCTGTTTTCTCCATAAGGTTATATGTGTTCTTCTGGTGATAATTATGAAATCAAATGTATTAGTTTTAGATAAATGTACATAACTTCCATTCATTCACAGTCACAACTATACATCTACTAATCTGTAAAGCAGTGGACCCCTGATGTTATGACACTTTTGTTTGTGAAATATGTGTTATAGTGTTTTACATTGTATGAGCTTAGCGGAGTTTAAATAGATCATTTTTTACTGTTTTTTGAGTTTAGATTTAATTGATTACCAGGCATATTTAAGCTCACTTCCTTCCCAATTTGAGTACCCCCCTCCAATTTCTGTTCTCTTTGTATGAATTTGAGCATTTTTAGATATCTCACATAAGTGGAATCATACAGTATTTGTCTTTTTATGCTGGCTTATTTCACTTAGCATTGTGTTTTCCAGGTTTATTTATTTTGTAGTATATTAGTGCACTTTCATACTGCTATGAAGAAATACCCAAGACTGGGCAATTTATAAAGAAAAAGAGGTTTTCCACATGGCTTGGGAGGCCTCACAATCATGGCAGAAGGCGAAGGAAGAGCAAAGGCATGCCTTACCTGGTGGCAGGCAAGAGAGCATGTACAGGGGAACTCCCCTTTATAAAACCATCAGATATCATGAGACTTATTTACTATCATGACAACAGCATGAGAAAAACACACCCCCATGATTCAATTACCTCTCACCAGGTCCCTCCCATGACATTTGGGGATTACAGGAGCTACAATTCTGGATGAGATTTGGGTGGGAAAACAGCCAAACCATATTATTCCATCCCTGGCCCCTCCCAAATCTCATGTCTTCACACTTCAAAACTAATCATGCTGGCCAGGCACAATGGCTCATGCCTATAATCCTAGCACTTTGGGAGGCCAAGATGGGTGGATCATGAGGTCAGGAGATTGAGACTATCCTAGCTAACACAGTGAAACCCTGTTTCTACTAAAAATACAAAAAATAAGCTGGGTGTGGTGGCACACACCTATAGTCCCCGCTACTTGGGAGGCTGAGGCAGAATTGCTTGAACCCAGGAGGCGAAGGTTAGTGAGCTGAGATCACGTGATTGCACTCCAGCTGGGCGACAGAGTGAGATTCTGTCTCAAAAAAAAAAAAAAAAAAAAATCAAACTAATCATGCCTTCCCAACAGTCCCCCAAAGTCTTATTTCAGCATTAGCTGAAAAGTTCACAAAGTCTCATCTGAGACAAGGCAAGTCCCTTCCACCTATGAGCCTGTAAAATCAAAAGCAAGTTAGTTACTTCCTAGATACAATGGGAAGTATAGGCATGGGGTAAATACACCTATTCCAAATGAGAGAAAATGGTCCAAACAAAGGGGCTACAAGCTGCGTGCAAGTCCAAAATCCAGTGGTACAGTCAAATCTTAAAGCTACAAAATGATTTCCTATGGTTTTGCAGGGTACAACCCCAC